CAATAAACTGACTTCAGTCAAATATTGGGGTCATTTTCCTTTTGCCACCAGAACAAAACGACCTGTGAAGAGACAGAGGGTGAGATAAAAACCTCAGAAGACCAAACACTGAAGATAACCACAACCTTATCGTCATCATAACATCCTGTTTGATTCTCTTTTATTCTAATGGGACCGAAAACATCGTTTTGCTTCTTTTCTCGACCACAGGAGTCGCCCCCTGCTGCTTTCAGATGGCCCCGCCCCTCCCTGAGCCTGGTTATGGTATCTTCTGTTAAGAAGACAGATGCGTCGCCCAGCCACGCCCCCTCCAACAGCACAGACATGGTGCAGAGGTCCAGTTCAAGGACTCCTGCTAGCTGAGGCAAAGCCTAGCAGGCAGCTAAAGCTGCCATCATGTAGGACAGGGGTGGGGAACTCCAGGCCTCGAGGGCCGCTGTCCTGCAGGTTTAGATCTCACCCTGGGTCAGCACACCTGAATCACATGACTAGTTCATTACCAGGCCTCTGGAGAACTTCAGGACATGTTGAGGAGATCTCACACCAGCCTTCCCCACCCCTGATGACTTTTTTTCACCTCCAGGTGTTCCTCTAGTGATCCACTGTCAGGTGAAATCTCTGAATCTTGAATATGAACTGAGAGCTGCTGAACAGGCGACAGTGCTGAGGAGTAAAAGAAACTTCACCTGACGTCGGGTCAGGCAGGAAGCAGTGAGGCTGTGGTTGGCCCTGCGGCCTGCAGCAGGAAGCTTCATTGCTCTTCAGAGCAGACGCTCTCATTGTTCCTTCTCATCGCAGCTCTCAGACCTTGTCGAGCATTTGGAGACGACTTGTTTTGGTTTCGTGCCCTCGCTTTCACCTTTTCTTCCATTTGCTGCAATTTTATCCGACTTAAATGTTCCTGTTTTCTGTCGTCAGTCTGCTTTAACATCTGACCTCCTTTTATTATTTTCTCTGGAGAAATTGAAGCTTTTCCTGCTGCTGATGTTTTTTTCTATAATAGCCACAAGTAACGTGATTTGTAAAAGTCCTGCTCAGACGTTTCCTCACACGGTGGTTTCAGTTTGTTTTGGATTATTAAACCTGCTGGATGAATAAATGCAGATCTGCATGAACGCTGTCACGCTGCCGCTCTGACAGACTACACTGTTAATCTGTCAGGATGCAGATGATTGATGAAAACCAGACTTTACGGTCGTTTATATGAAGCACAAATATTCAGAGGAATTAAAACATTCACGTTTCATTTTCATCTCCTCTCTCTGAGATAAGCTGCCCTCCTTTCATTTCACGACGCGAGCGTCAATGCCTCTCTTTCTTTTCTCCGTGCAGGTCGAAGCGTCCGATTCCGATGGCGGCACCGAGAATGGACGCCACGATTCCCGGCGTCCCTCACCAGCAGGTAAATGAACCCATAATGCATCAAAATCATTATTT